TAATATAATATAATATAATATAATATAATATAATATAATATAACTTTAACCTAGATCTGGACTGAACATTAACATCCAGATCTTTTTGTGTTCATCTGGGTTAAAAAGGGTGAAATATCAGATTTATTGGCAGGAAATGTTCCTTAGAAAAAGTTTTTTTTTGTTTTTGTGTTTGATCCCTGGTCCTTAGTTGCACAGAGCAGCTGTTCTTACGTCCGTGCACGTTTTAAAGTGTCAGAAATCACAGCAACGACAGGGACGAGCACATCAGACCTCCCAGGGCCAGTAAAGAGTCTGCTTTCTGATCGTGACTATTTCATGGACATAAGAAGGCTCTTTGGCTGCAGATGACCCTGTGTTTCCGGGTTTATGCGGGAAAACCTGGACTCTTCCTGACCCCTCTTTATGTAATGATTTGGGAACTGTCTGATGTAACGTCGACTTCAGGCTGGGGGGGTTTAGCAGAAAGCTAATCTTATTAGAGACCCACTTTATAAGCATTCTCAGCCCCCCCCCCCCCCACAGCAGAGGGCCGCCGGTCAGTGAGCGGGTTTTAGGTTTCTCACAGAGAGAAAGTCTGAATAACGGAGGAAATGACAGGTTACAGGCAGGAAATTAACCTTTCTCCTGGAAAATAAATAGATGTTCACAAAATCACAAGAGATATTAAAGAGTTATTAAATAAATAAATGAACAAATAAATAAATAAAGGTTATTTAGACTGCACAAAAATAAATAAAGGTAAATCACAAGTGTTCACAAATCACAAGATTCATTAAATAAATAAATAAATGAAGGTTGTTTAGAATGCACAAAAATAAATAAAGGTAAGTGAGAGTTATTAGATAATTAAATAAATAAATACATACATAAATAAATACATGAATAAATCAAACAATCAATCAAGCAATAAATAAATAAATAAATAAATAAATACATGAATGAATAAAACAATCAATCAAGCAATAAATAAATAAATAAATACATGAATAAATCAAACAATCAATCAACCAATAAATAAATAAAGGTTATTTACAATGCAGTAAAATAAATAAAGGTAAATTACAAATGACAGTTATTAAATAATAAACAAATAACAAATTATCTATCTATCTAGCTTGTGGGGGGGACTACATTTCCCTGCTGGACTCCAGGCTCCAGGAGTCCAGGACCTGAGGGCACATGGTTCCTGAGGGAGGGCTGGACCCCCCCTCATCTGACTGAGCTGTAAAGGAGAGGCCCTAAATGATTCATCACTTCTTTTTATAACTCTCACCGATCCAAAGCTGCTGAGTTTGGCTGAACTCAGCATCTAAAACGGCCATATGAGGAAAAAAGAATCAATTCAAGCACAAAGCTGCTCAGTACTAGTGAAATGATCTGGTTATCAGGTTTGTTTCATTCTAAAAACTAGATCAAAATAAGTACAAAATACTCATTTTAAGATGAAGTCACTTGAAATAAGTAATGACAAGTATAATATACTGTAAACAAGCAAATAACACTTATCTAGTTTAGGCATTCCTAATTTTAGTTCATTTCATTGCTAAGAAAAAATACAATATTTCACAGGTTTAAGTGTAAAGTGCTTAATTCCTGGATAGTATGAGGAATTAAAACCAGTGATCCTATCTGTAAAACAAAGATACCCTAAAACTAGGCCTTTATCCCAGATCACACATCTTTTATGAGTTATTTAAGAGCTCTGTACTATGTTAGATACAGAAATCAAAGTCAGGCTAAATTTAAGAATATAGAGTGGACCCAAAGTTTAGAAACTAGTAAACAACACTTTTTATGTCCTGGCATGAGATTTGAAATCTTGAAGAGAAGACAAAGACTTGTCAAGTCGGCCATTTTGATTAGGTCATGTGACTAGCAGCTTTCTGAGGAGGAAACTAAACTTCACTGTCTGTACAAAATCGGAAGATAAAAGATGTCCTAACCCTAAACCTAACCCTGACCCTGACCCCAACCCTAACCCTTGTTTCCTCACCCAGCCAGGTCCTCCTCCCCCAGCACTAACCCCCCTAACCCCTAGTACTAACTCCAAGCACCAACCCTAATCCTAATCCCTACCCTCTCCCTAACCCTAACCCTGACCACTCCACTTACCTCTATTCCCTACCCTAAAGCCTAATCCTAACCCTAACCCTAACCACTCCAGTTACCTGTATTCCCTACCCTAAACCCTAATCCTAACCCTAACCCTAACCACTCCAGTTACCTGTATTCCCTACCCTAAGCCCTAACCCTAACCCTAACTTCCACCCGCTGCCCTAACCCCAGAATTTTTTGGAACCCCCCTCGCTCGGAACTGAGGACTCAAGGACTAAAGGAACTCAAAAGGACGCAAAAAGGAACTTAGGACATAGGAAATGAGGCTAACGAAAAGGAGAAAGGGAAGAAAAGAAGGGAATAAGAGGAAAAGGAAGAAAAGAAAGGGATGGTTAGAGGTGAAAAGGTGGAGAGAGA